AAGCATTGTATGCACATATGAATAATAAAACAATAAAAATTAAAAAGAAACTTGCTGATAATCCAAACATGCTTTTTTGTCTAGCTTTTTCTCCATGTAAATAAGAGCTATTTATAAGCAGTGAATAAAGAGCAAAGCTAACTGGCCGAATTTTACTTGTTTTCCCTTTCCTTGTCTACTCTGTCTTGGTGTAATGTTAGAAAACTTTGAAAAGGATCCAGATCACTCATAATCTGAGCAATGAGTCCTCCAACACCAGGGGAAATAAGATCTATTGCCAGTAACATGGAACTACTGGAGAAACATAGTCTACTTTGTGCTATGGAAGCAATCTCCCACCTCGCCAGTAGGTGGAGGCACACACAAGTGTATTGGCTTTGCTCTTTGATCCACATGACCTTAAATCTGATAGCAATCAATGTTTGTGGTTTGCTGATTTGAAACCAAGAGATCAAGGATGATGCAAAAAACTGAGCAAGGGCAATTGTCAAGGTGAATTTAAAAAATAATGATACATGAATGGTTTTATATTTCTGCTTCTGGCCCTTTTAAGAAATAATTTATTTTAACTGTGAATTTATAATCTACTTTCAGATCCCTAGAGCTCAGAAAACAATTCTAAATTTAGAAATCTGTCATTTAAGATTCACGTTCAATCAGGGAAAATTGAACATCAATTGAATATGACATGATATTAAGGAATTATTGTGGATTTTGTTAGGTATAATTTTTAAAAAATCTGTTAGAAATATAAACAGGAGTATTTATAGGTGAAATGATACCATTTTAGAAATCTCCAGAGGAAAAAAAGACAATAGGAAAGGATAGTTTGAACAGGAATGGCAAAATGTTTTGATAACTGTTGAAGCTCAGTGCTTGGTATGCCGGCATTCATTATATTATTCTCTTTCCATATGAAATTTTCCAAAATAAAAGATGAAAAAAAGAGAGAATAGCCATGTTATGGTGATGTGTGTTAACATTAGGATTAGGTCACTGGTAACTATCCAATTTAACTTAGAGGTCTCATCTCAAGGCACAGCCACTGAATTATTTTAATCAGAACTATACCGTACAAAATTGGTGTCTAAGGAACTAAAACTCAGATTTTGTGACATCAAACATCACCTTCTCTCTACTATACTGTCACTTAGGCCCCTTTGATACTAAAGCAAATGTGGTAAAATTTAGGTGAATTTAAAAATCTTATTCTCTGCGCTCACTACTTTATAGTATATGATTAAATCTACTTTTAGTTTTCTCAGAATAAAAATATGGACAGAAACATATTTCCTGAATAAAGAGTACAATTAAACTAGAAAAGTGATTTTAAAAGAATTATAATATCTTGGGCTGTGGCTCAAGTGATAAGAGTGCTTGCCTAGTATTGGAAAAAAATTATGACATCTTAAACTGGAAGGGATATCAGAGGCCCTCTCTAGTCCAAAGTAAAGGGGGCCTTATATTTGGCCCCCTTGGATGGATCCAGCTCCACGCATGCATTTCTAGTGAGGAATTGCATAGTCTGTGAGACTGCCTGCTTCATTCATGAACTAAATTGCATCACAACAGAGGCCTTTCTTACTTAGAGGTGAAATCTGTCACTTGTTGATTCTAGTTACAGCCTCCAACACTACACTGAATATAAATTTTTTATGATTTTTTTTTTACAGTACTGGGGCTTGAAATTAGGTCCTATACCTTGAGCCACTCCATCAGCCCTTTCTTTGTGAAGGGTGTTTTAGAGATAGGGTCTTGTGGAACTATTTCCCTGGGCTGACTTCGAACCGCAAGCCTCCTGATCTCTGCCTCCTGAGTAGCTAGGATTACAGACATGAGCCACCAGTGCCCAGCACATTGATTTATGTTCTACCTATGTGACCTTCTGCTTGGAGGACTCTTAGCAGAATAAGGAAACGAGATTCATGGTCGAATAAGTTACCAGTCTTTTTGAGAGCTCTTCCATGCCAGGGGTCTTAACCTGGGATTCAGGCATGTCTGGGAGCATTCAAAGTCTTTCTGGGGACACATGAACTAGGATATTTAAAGGAAATCAATTTCTATTTCTTCATTTGCCATTGCTTGATCTGTCTGAAAACAAGTTCTGTGGTCTGCTGGTTTTCCTTTCATATCTCCACATCTCTAATCAGCCATCTCAAAAGACCAACCACTCCCCTATCCTGAAAAGCCTGTCTAGCTTCAAAGACAGTTGGGGAATACAGAGTTCCTACAGGAGGAAGATACCCCTGGGAGCAAAGCAAAGAGAGCTCGAGGAAGAAAAGAAGGTGTCACCTTATTTCATCCAGACAACAAATTCATGGCAAAGTCTGATCTATTTTAGAATCTAAAATCAATAGTAAGATGAGTGTCATTGGGATGTCTATTAACACTTCAAATTTATTTGAAAAGTGAAGTCAGATTTTTCTCTGACAGAAAGTGAATCTGATTTGGCTGAGTGATTTGACAATGAGGACTCACTTTGCCATGTAGGTCACGGCAGACAGTTCCCATAAAGGAAAGGAGATAAAGGCAGAGCTCTACTGTTATGAAGAAAATATGTTTAAAAGAATATTCAAGACACTGAAAATATTCTCACAATGAAAATTTTTATATATCAACTTAAAAATATGTGAGATGGGTACCAATATTTTTCAAAATTCTTTTGGCAGGATTGCCCACTGAGGTTTTGAAGGCCATGATTCTCTGGCAGAATTTCCAGGCTCTTTCCCATTCTGGTTACTCCTTTTGCAAACATTCTGGTATCCTGCTTACTATGAATGCTCCAGGGTGAATAAACAGTGCATAATACAGTGAGAATGTGGCTTTGTTCTGGGTACTATATACTTCAAATTAATGTAGCTTAACTCTCTATTCAGGGCTTTTAAAGTTGTTACAAACAACTAACTATAAAACATTTACATCTTTTTCATCTAAGTAGTTGCAACTAAATTCACACTGACCTTGCACTTATACATTTGAATGAAGGGGTTTATTTTAACTGGTCCTAAATTTTGCCTTCTTTGATTCAGTTCCTTGGCTACAACTCAATATACTGCCCCCTTTTGGGCAGTACTGGGGGTTGAACTCATAGCTTTGCACTTGCTAGGCTCTACCACTTGAACCACTCTGCCAGCCCTTATTGCATTGGTTATTTATTTATTTTTTATTTTTTTAGTAGTACTGGGGTTTGAAACTCAGGGCCTCACACTTGCTAAGCAGGAGCTCTACTATTTGATCCACTCTGCCAGTCCTTTTTTGTGTCAGTTTCTTTTCTTTCTTTCATTTTTTTTTTTGAGTAGGATTGGAGTTTGAACTCAGGGCTTCATGCTTACAAAGCAGGCACTCTCTCACGTGAGCCAGTCTCCAGTCTCCAGTCTATTTTGTTCTGGTTATTTTGGAGACAGGGTTTTGCAAACTATTTGCCTGAGCTGGCCTCAAACCAAAATCCTCCTGATCTCTGCATCCTGAGTACCTAGAATTACAGGTGTTTGTCACCAGTGCCTGACTTGCATTGGTTATTTTGAGATAAGGTCTCATTTTATGCCTGGGCTGGCCTGGACTGTCATCCTCCTATTTGTGCTTCCTGCCATAGCTGGGATGACAGGCATGTACCACTATACCCAGCTATTGGTTAAAATGGAGGTCTCATGAACTTTTTGCTCAGGCTGGTTTTGAATCGTAATCATCCCAATCTATGCCTCCCAAGTAGTTAGGATTGCAGGCTTGAGCTACCACATTTGGCCAACTAGTAATATATTTTTGCATTTTGATATAGATAGCAAATATGTTAGCTAGCCCTCTGTAGGGGACAATTTATAAAATGCATCCTAGGGATACCTGAGGATATTCAGGTTCTGGTGTGTGAGCTGGATCTACTGACTTGTTTCTAATTAATACAGTATAGCAGAAGTAATGGCGTGCAATGTTGAAGACTTCCTTCTTGCACTCTTTCTTTCTCGCATGTTCTTTTTTTCTCTCTCCCTCTCTGTTGTGTGCTTGCTGGCTCTATTACTCTGTGGAGGGTCCCATGTGAGAAGGAACCAAGGGAGACCTCAGATTAACAGCTCTAAAGGAACTGAGGCCCATAGTCCAATAGCCTGAGAGGAACTATGCCAAAAACCATGTGGAGTAAGCTGAGAAGCATATCCACCCTTAGTGGAGCCTTAAGATGACTCTGGCCCTGGCCAACAGCTGGGTTACCACCTTGTGAGAGACCCAGCTAAGTTGGGCATACACTGGCCCACATTCCTGCTGCACAGAGAGTGAGATAATACATGTATGCTGTTTAAACCAATCAATTTTGGGGTAATTTGTTATGAAGCAATAGATAACGAATATACCCTTCAACCTTGGTATCTTTTGAGTATTTAGCAAGTATACCCTTCTTTTGATTTTCCTAATTAAAGTTACTGATTAATTTTGAACAGAATAGGATTAAAGATGAAACCTTGCAGGATACTGTCCCACAATCTCTTTGGACAATCAGCTATGGACTAGTCAGTCACAGTTCACATTTCTCCATCTTACAACAATTCTGTGAGGAACATGTGAAGTAGTTTACTGAAATCAAGATACATTATATAATTCTCCTCATATGCCAGTATGGTGATTACAGCAAAAGAGGAAGTGAAGTCTGTTATAACTCCTTTTGAGCTGCCAAAGAGACTTGCCACATGGAGGCCTCTACTCTCATCTTACTCTTCTTCACTAACACTCTTCTGGTCAGAACTGCATATCGTGGGCCCTCCTATCCTCTGAACTTTATTCCTTTTGGAATCTCTTCTTTGAAGTGTACTGAAAGTGTGAGGGTACCTGATAGGCCCAGATTTTGCTTCCTTTGCCATTGGGAACCTTAAGATAAGATAGTCCATTTTCCCCTTTTGATTTTAGATTTTTCTAAACAAATGAATTAACTATTGCTAAAATTTAAAAGTGTTAGCATTCTCTAAAACCAACATTGCTTAAAACTTTACTCCTTAAGAAATAAAATACACACTCACAATTCAAAAACCATGTAAAGCATTCCATCTGAGCTATATGTCTCCAATAACTCTACAATGTGTGGATGTTTCAGCATATGACAGATACTGGCTTCCCGCTTTAGATCTGCAAAACAAACATACAACATACTTTATTAGGTAGGAACAAAAGACAATTAGAGTGAAGGATGAATGAATGGAGGTGATCTATGGGAACATGAAGACTTCTCTAACTAAAGAGATGGAATTCCCCATTTAAACTGAGCTTAACTTTTTACCCTTTAAAATCGACAATATAACTTCTCACATTTTTATCAGCTTCAACTTATATGCAAGAGTCAGCTTTTCTTATTAAGAAATGTTTATATTTCTTAGTACAAATACTTTTTGCCCAAAAGTAAAATAAATGCACAAATAAGTACTTTCTCCAAACTCTTATAATCAAGTTTCAGCCTCCAAGTTTATAACTCTTTCTAGATCTGCTAATAACTAACTCAATTTACCATTTTGAATGTTGCCACTTCTTCTTAGTTTTCCTTGAGTCAGATAAAAGTGTGTTCTGTATTCTTTAGCTTAAAATCTAGCATTTACAGACACATCAGGAAATTACAAGGAATAGGAAGCAAATATAGCATGATTTAAACAGAAAAGGCGCTATTTTTTAGAGTCAGAGTCAGAATTTATTATTTTTTTGGTGCTGAGGATGGAAGCCAGGGCTTTGTATATGCTAGGCAAGCACTCTGCGGCTGAGCTGCACCCCTAGCCCAGAAATTTTTTTACGTCATATATGAAATGTGTTGGATAATTCAGAACTCTACCTACTTCACAGTGTTATTCTGAAACAAATTCAGATAATGTAAGTAAGACTGCTGTGTAAAATCTGCAATGCTATTTGGAAAACAAAATTATTAATATCATCATCATTATCATCATTGTCTTCTAAGATGGTCTGAGTAGGGGCATCACTTGCCATGACATAGAATAAGATAATTAAAGCCTTTCAGTGCTAACAGTGTTGGGGCTTTACATGTTTGCTGATGAATAAAATCCAGTGTGATGCTTTTATATTTGAAAGTAGAATCCAGACAAGTAAGCAAGAGCCAAGGCTAAGGACAGATTGCATCAAGCAAAATCCAGACTAATTTAACTTAGTCCTGGCAATGAAAGCAATGGCTGCAGATAGAACCTTAGAAGGCAGCAAACTATATGAAGAAGAAACCACCAGAAAAGGTGCAATCAATAATACATATTAAGAAAGTCAAGGGAACAGAGGAAATAAAGGCATGTATAGTTGGAAAATGATGAAAGATAAGAAAAGGCATAAGATTCAGGCAGAGAAGGTCATGAGCATTCTGAGTTAGATCAAAGTTCTGTGAAGAGGTCAGAGTCAAAGTCAGCATGCAGGTAACAATTATCTAATAATAAATTCAACTTTATCATTTCTCTTACTGAGTTCAGTACTCAATATAACCAGCCTTTTAACACCCCAACCACCTTGTGAGTGGTACCTTACCGATGAGGAAACTGAGGCTTGGGAACATGTTCAAGATTACAAGCTATTGCAGGGGAAGGCTTTGAACTCTGACCTGCCTGACTCCAAAGTCCTCAGTGCTTCCACTGTGCTATGCCAGGGTTTGGACATGATCACAGATGAAAAATCTGGCAGTAGAAAAGGAATGGCAGGGTCAAAGAGGGTTTTACTTGTTTGTCCAATTTTGCTATATTGTAAACGAAATACCCATTGTGATTATAAGTGGCAGTGATGAACAGCCCACCGGATCTAGAGTCAGAACACTTGGTGCTGATCCTGCCTTTGTTCGTGCCACCTACAGGCAGGTTCTAACTTCTACAAATGGCTTCCTTACAGCCAATGAAACACGAATGGTGACAGGTGATGTGGTACCTGTAGAGACTACTAATCTGCTTCAAAGGCCAGTGGTAAGATTCAAATGAGAAGCCAGATGTGAGAGGACCACGTAGAGCACAACACATGGGGTGGGGATTAAGGGGGCCCAATGTGAGCTGGAGGCTCAGTGTTCACTACAAAGGAAGAGATCTGAGCACAGGAAAAGAATGTCTTTATGTCCAAAAGCATACCGAAGGCCCTGCAGGAGAGGAGGGGATGAAGCAGCTTTGGCGTTTGTACAGGGAAGTGAGAACGACAAGAAGGGCTTTTAACAAGTGTGCTGGAGGGCCAGGCTGAGGCAGAAGACATCAATCAGATGCCTGCACAGTTCTGTCTCTCCCTTCAAGAACGTTCTACCTCCTGACTATGAAAAGCTTGGGGTTTTATCACTCCTTTTTACGTTTATCTCTAGCTTCTAATTTCATTAGAAGTCACCCTTTCATATCTATTTTTCACCTTATTTTTCTGTTCGTCTCTGTTCTGATCAAAAGCGATTCTAACTCAATGCTCTAACATTGGAGTCACAAGTAAACAGATTTAGTGTTTGCCACAATGAAAACTGGTCTTCTTTCCTTTTTTCAGTTTATTTTCTGTTTTGTTCCTTTCATGTAACTACAGTGTGCTTCAGCCTGCATACTAACCATTTCCTGTGTTACATTGAAAACTTGTAAGTAGAAACATATGTTCTAAAGGTTCCTCCACTGGAGTCTGCTTTGGTAAACAGCAGAATAAGCTCTTGGTCTAGTCTTCTCTCTCTCTCTCTCTTTTTCTATAAGTACTGGGGTTTGAACTCAGCGTCTCACACTTGCTAGGCAGGTGCTCTGCCACTTGAGCCACTCCACCAGTCCCCTTGGTCTAGTCTTATCAGCTACCCAGTCTTCAAAGGCAGAATCTCTAGGGGCTCTGTCTTCACAGACTAAAGTGATTTAAATGTCACTGGATCTGACTTTTCAGGGACTAAAATCAGAGCACTGACTGGATAGCACAAAACTAACACCATAAAAAATATATTTGAAATGATAGGGACAGTGCTGCAAAAGATGACTAACCTTTTCAAAATTCAAGTATCAAGTAAATAGCCCAAATAGAAAAGCAGATGTGTATTCTAACTATAGATTCCAAGAATATTAATACCAAAATGATTTGTTTTAAAATATGAATATGAATTAAAGATACACAAACACAGTAGACCTTGGTATCCACAGGTCTATGGTTCCAAGTAGACCACCGTTGAGGAAGAACTGCGCATGCCCAGGATGCATATTCTTAGCATTGGGGTAGCAATCTCAACCCCAATGTCTGAACTTAAAAGGCCTACATTTAAGAGTTACTTTTCCGAGAAACATTCAGTGAGGGAGGATTTAGATCAGCACCATCCAAAAGAAATATGATGCAAGCCACACATGTAATTGAAAATTTTTCAGCAGTCATGTTAAAAAAATGAAAAGAGGCAGGCATCGTGGCTCACACCTAAGATCCTAGATACACAGAAGGTGTGAATAGGAGGATATCATTCCAGGCCAGCCTGGGCAAAAAACATAAGACCCTATTAAAAAAATAACTAAAGCAAAAGGGCTGGGGGTGTGGCACAAGCAGTACAGTGTCTAGCAAGCATGGGGCCCTGGGTTCAAACTCCAGCAATGCCAAAAAAATTTAAAGAAGTAAAAAAGAAACAGGTGGAATTATTTCAATAACATTTTACCCAATCCAATTTATGCACAGTATTATTTCAACATATATTTAAATTAATGAAATATGTTATTCTTTTTCATACTCGGAGATCCAGTGTTTGCTATATATTTATAGCATATCTCAATTCAGTCTAGTCACATTTTAAGTGCTCAATGGCAATATGTGAGTTCTGCAATTCTTTTTTTGTTTTTTGCAGTGCTGAAAATTAAACCCAGGGCCTCGTGCATGAAAGGTGAATGCTCAATCACTGAGCTACACCCTCAGCCCCTCTTCTGCAATTCTTACACAGATATCTACACAGTCAGCCATTCAAAAAGAGATTCTAAACTCAATCATGCAATTTTCAAAAACACTTCCACAGAAGGAAATTCTATCGCTTCTTTTAATAACCACATTCTATCAATTAATAACTAAATGTGGAGTATTTTCACTAATGTTAATCTAAATCCCTCATTTGTCCTGTAGTTTTTATTTATTTATGTTTTTGGTGGGTCTGGGGTTTGAACTCAGGGCTTTGCTCTTGCTTAGACCTTGCAAAGCAGGTACTCTACTGCTTGAGCCATGCTTCCCATCCAGTTTTTAAGTATTTTATGTTAACTTACCAAACAAGCAAAGCATAGTTAACATCCATGTGTAGCTGTCCTTTGTATGTCTCAAAATGCACTGATTGGCTTTTTAGATTTTATCACTCTACTGTGCAGTATAACATTTGAGAGTTTCCTACGCAACATTTGCAATTTTAAAGCGCTCCCTCTGTAAGTGCTCATTTAATGACTGTAATCATCCTATGGCACATATGTATCTGTCCCTATTTTATACAGGAAAGAATTTGAGGCCCTGTGTTCAGTGATATAAATAAGTTACTGAAAAATCACACAACTAGTAACAACAGAAGCCCAGCACTCTTTACATCACACCACAATGACTCCTGGTGCTGTGTCGTTTATGTATGTCCCTAGACCCAACAAACAAAAGTTCTAAGCTGGTAACACTGACTTGGCTGCCAAACTATCAAGACTGTTACAGAACCAGCTATTTCAGCTGCTCTCTCAATAGTGATAGTCAGAAACAACATACTGATTTTTTTAACAGTACTGAGGATTGAACTCAGGGCCTCGTGTATGCTAGGCAAGTACTCTACCACTTGAACCATACCCCTAGTCCTTTTATTTTGTATTTTATTTTCTGAGATAAGGTCTCAGTAATTTTTGCCTGGGGTTGGCCTCAAACTCATGACCCTCCTACCTCTGCCTCCCAAGTGTCTGGGATTATAGATCTGTACCACCATACCTGGATCTAAATACTGATCTTTTCCTGACAAAATATAGAAAATTTCTCATTCATTTCCAAACAATTTCTAGGTTGTATTAGAAAGTCAATAGTTCCCACCCTCCTTTCTCTATCCCCAGTCTGACAGACAGTAGCTGCAGGTTCTAGCTCTCTTGCTGGGGAGCCCCTCCACAGGACCACTTTTCCACAATAAACTCTGTGCTGGCATTAAAAAAAAAGTTGCTGGGTGCCAGTGGCTTATGTCTGTAATCCTAGCTACTCAGGAGGCAGAGAACAGGAGGATCATGGTTCAAAGCCAGCCCAGGCAAACAGTTCCAGAGACCCTATCTCAAAAAT